CTCACTCAAGACCAAGAGAAATATTTAAATGTTTTGATATGAAAAATATACCCTGCCATTTTCAAGTAATCCTCACACTGTGGCTTCCACACATAATTAATTGCCATGAAATGGTACAGGGAAGCGAACCAAATTCTTCAGACACTTGACACATCACAAGGTCTCTTGATTTAGCACCCCTGAGTAACGTGATGAGAAGATGTGGACCACTCAAGTTAGTGATTCAGCCTTTCCTAAAATAGCAGCACGTCACATCCACGGCACTGGTGCACACTAATTACACCAGGGTCACAACTACCACAGATATGATACCGAGAGGGACACATCAAGTCCCCTTTTTTACCTTTAGTCTCCTCCAGTATCGAATATTTGTTTACTTAGTTGCATGTCACAATGACAGTGTTTGTAAGCCTCAGTCTCGCTCTTCAGGTTCCTCTGGCACAATACCGCAACTCAGGTTATGGAGCAAAATACTGGAAAGATGTGATAGATACAGGAGAAATCTAAAATGTGCAATGATAGGGAAACAAGGTGAATTCTACCTTTGAAAAGCACTTGTTGCACTAGTGGTTCAGGTCCGACATGGTCCAGGCAAGGTTCCACCCATAGGTAGGTATAATACTTCTGTGTTGAACTCCAACCAACCTGAGCAATTTCACAGATTTAATTTAACTTCTTTGAAAGCAACACAATACAGTAAATATAGTGTATAAGTTGCTATTATTTCTTACACACCTTATAGATACCGATCCAGTCCCTCGGGCTGGGCTCCAGAGCACCGGTGAGAGTGTACCGGCACATAACTGCGATGTTGGGCGGATATGATGGAGGAACCTCGTTGAAAACTACCTGCGAGTACGATGAGGTCTCCATCACAACGGGGACCGTCTCTTCCTCCATTCCGTCATTCATCCCGGGGTTCACGGGGGACACAGTCACCCTTCAATGCCCCGAAAGATTATTTTAGTCAAAAACTGGTGTATATTTAGTTTTTCCTTGGTTGAGTTGTTCTTTCACTTTCATTTATGTGAGGGCGTAACTACGACGAACAAAAGTGATTTAATGCCGGCTGACAACGCACTAGTTTTGTTTGATTTTGTTATCTGGTTAATTAAAAATAATCAAAATATAGTTTAAAGACAAGAAGTGGAAGAAACACGATTCGGCTTGTAATCTTAAAATAACAACTTTTTATATTTTAAAATCAATATAAAGCATTGGATAACTCACGCCTTGACCATAATTTGGTGGTATTTTCACAATAAACAACTTCCATAAATAAAATGTTACCTGAAACTCCTTCTGTCGCAGTCCAGACCGTGTTGAACAGGCGGTGCGATACACTGCAGTTGCTATAAATGGGAGCAAACTAATAAACACAATCTGGGAGATGTAGTTCTAAGCGCAGGTCGGGCACTGCTGGGGATTCCCGTGTATTATGTCATCCAGGGTCAGGTAGGGATTAGTGGTGGAACGGTATAGTGCCGAAATTTGCACCCTGCCAAATTATGCACCCCCTAGTATTGGTAGGTTTAGGAGTAGGTGTGGGGGAGGGGTTAGGATTAGGGGTGGGGTT